GTGTAAACAGAAATAAATGAATGTATTTGCTTTACTCTATTGACAATGAAACCTAAAAGCGTTTAAGTAATGCCTCAGCCTCAATATGTATTTGGACATGAAAACTGAGATGAAAAACCAACAAATATGTGGCTAATGAATGCAGGAAACATAAAATCACCTTTAAATGATACAAGGCTGCCATTGTCATTAAATACCATTCTGTTGGATACTATCCTCACATTCTTGAAGGATCTGTGAAGTTTCTGCCTTAGGACCTGTTATTATCAAGAAAAAACAATATATTGCAATTGAGAGGCGTGTACAACAATAGAGGAGAAAAGAAAGTGCATATTTTGCAACCTTGCCATCATAAAACTAAATTGATTTTTCAGACCTCTTCAATGATATCAGCGAGCCCTGCAGAGAATATTAACACAGGAATGTCTCTTTCCTGAAAATTACAAAATAGAATATGGGAACCAGTGTCAGAAATTGAATTTTCATATATTTACATTAACATTTCATAAATTCAACTGATAGAAAATAAACATATCAAGATGCAATGTAAGATGTTATATCTGCCAAAGAAGTATACCTCCAGAAACTCAAAAAGTTCAGAGACACCTTCCCTGAAAGCTATGTTAGCATTAGCAACAGATTGTCTTATTGATTCATATGTAAGTCCTCCCTCAACAAGCAGAGCATGTGTTTTTCCCCACCTGATACACCAAATTTAAAGTTTCAGCAAAATGTAATAATGCGAATGCTGAACATTCAACTTAGTGCCTATACGTCCACCATTAACAAACTCACACACCACTCTTCCATGAGCTTCGTTTTCTCTTCAAGTCCAATAGTCGGTGAAAACTCTAATGGATGGTAATATTCATATAATTGCTGCCTTTTGGCATCATATTCTGGATTACCCTGCTGCAAAAGGCCATGACTGGCTACAGAAGCACAAATGACTCTATTAGATATGATCCATAGCAAAATTCTGAATGACATCCATTTCTTTTCTTACATCAAAGGGACCAAAACATACTTTGACCACGAGTTCCATTAACCGAAAACTTAGTTAACGTGGCATCAAAATCAGCAATCACCTGGTACCATGAATTTGTTAATACAATAATAAAAATAGAAACACATTGCGCTGGGAAAGTTTGAAGAACTAACAAACATTTTTGTAAGGGTACCCAATATTATGTCACCAAACTACTACAGTAAGTAAATTCAACAAGCACACCAAGAAAACATATAGAATACTCAATAAAACACTTAAATTAATTATGAACCAAATGCGTGCAGAAACCTGAAGCTTCTGGGGACCACCCGAACGAATTGCATCAATTTTCTTCTCCAACAACGCAGGGTCACCCACCAAGAAGTCCGAAGCAACCTTCACTTCCTCCATTTCTGAATTTCTCCCGCAACAAAAACTAGAAAATGATACCCTTTAATGAAAAAATGTCAGAATAGTTAAAAAATTAAAACGAAGGAAAAGAAAATACAAACTTTAAACATAGATGTGCAATAGCAGGTTAAAAGAAAATGAAGAAAAAAAAAGGGACAAAAATGGGGTGGGAAGAAGAAGAAGAACCTCGAGGCAGTGTAACGGGAAGAAAAGGAGAAGTGGCGTTGGCGAAAAGAGGTGGCGATGATAGCTTGAACTTGAAGTTGGAAGCATTGATTCATTATAGTAAGTGACCGAATCAAAACTTTCAATTTTAATAATTTCTAAATTTTTAACACTCAAAAACAACTTTTTACTTTGATCAATTTTAATAATTTCTTTTCCCCTCACACTTTTCTCTCTTTATTTTCTTTTTTTGCATCAAGTAAATGTTTTTCTTCCATTAGACACAACTTAAAAATGAATGGCTCCAATTTTTTGTAGAAAGTGATTATAGATTGTGTTTTTCAAGAGTTTGATTGAAACTACTGACTGGTGCAGATGCTTTTTGAAGATGAACTGTGCCCCCTGCAGATAAATATATATTATTTTCTTATGTCATTATCTTTCACCATCGATATTAGATGAAAATCAATCAAGACTAATATTTCTTATGTTTACAAGTCTCATCATAAAAAGAATATTTACAATTTTCTTTTACATTCAATGACAAGTCACAAAATATATACTTTTATTTGATTTTAAATTAATTTACTTAAAGAAAGATAGAGTGTAAATTAAAATAAATAATTTTAAAATAAAATTTTAGTAACATTATACATTAAAATATTAATATAAATAACTTTAATTTCTTTTCGAGATACACTAAAATATAAATTTTAAAAATATATTTTTCTAAACAATAATTTTATAAATTTTAGAAATAACGATAATTTTTTTAAGAGTAACACTAAAATATATATCCATTTAATATTTATATTATAAATTCGGTTTAAATCCTCGGTTGGTCCTCATTTTTGTATGGTAATCTCAGTTGGGTCCTCATTTTTGCAAATGTGCGTTAAATATAGCTCACGTGTTTATACTCTATTATTTGATTACATAAAAATTTTATTTAAATTAAAGAATTATGATATGGCAAAATTGAAGGTGTCAAAGAAGCTTCCAAAGCCCTTCACACGAACACCAATCCTTTCACCTTCCTCTTTCCAAGAGATTCCAGCACTGACATTGGCACGCTCCTCGACCTCGAAGCCAAGTCCCACGCCGTCTTCTCCTCCGACCCTAACCTCTGCAACCTCTCTCTCATCCTCTCCTCCCTCCCATCCCTAATTGATAAACTCCACAAACACAACGGCTACTTTCCACGATCCCTCCTCCAACACTTACCAAAAATATTGTTGTTAATATGACCTGGTATTATATCCAAAAATATTGTTGTTACAGTGACCTGGTATTTATATCCCAAAAAAATTTTCCTTGTTATTGGTGGTGTTGGACCCTCTCCTTTCACCCAGGCTTTTCAGACAGCTTTGTTGAGAAAAAAATGCATGGACGAATGATGAATGAATGAATGGGGGAAGATGATGCCCTTCTGGGACAACCGTTGAATTTCTTGGTGGATCGAATTGGGTTCCTGTGGTGCCCTTTTCTGTTTCTGATTTCTTGGTGGATCGAATTGGTTCTCCAGAATTGGTTCTCCAGTATACGAAACCCAAACCAATTAATTAATGATAAATCCAATTCGGGAAACTTTAATGTTTATGATAAAATTGGAAATTAAAATCCCAATTATGTTTCTGGAATTTAATCCTCCAGAAAATCTCTTTTAAGAACCCTAATTAAAATCTGAAATCTAAATTGGAAAAATTCCCAATTTGAAACCCTAATGCTCCTGAACCCTAAGGAAAATCCAATTTTCTGGTTTCCTTCTTCTCTGGTGCTGTGGAGAAACCACCTCTAGAGGCTTCTTCTTCTTGGTTCAGGTCGTGAAGGTGCAGGCAGTGGCAGTTCGCACATTAGGTCTCGCCATTTTTGGTTTTTGCTTCTGCTCTTCTTCTCCTTTAGTGCATTGCTCAACCATGATTTCATTCTCTCACGAATGGCGGCATAGCAGCAGCAATCATTCGGTGCGGCATAGCGACAGCGATCATTCGATGTGGCATAGTGGCAACGATTCGATGCGGCGCAACGACATAGGCGCGGCCCATGGGGTTTCGTGTTCGTGCAACAACAGCGACCCACAGTGGCGACGATGAAGGCGCGACAAGGAGGACTCGCTCAATGGTTTTTATCTTTTTAATTACCCAATCAATGGTATGCCTGCTAATGACTTGCGTCGGCGAAACTCCGCCAACGAGGTCCATGGGTGAGTGAGCCTAGTGAAGTGAGTGGTGGAGGGAGTCTAACCAGATTTGGATGTGTCTCAGAAAGGTTCGATTAGCAACAAATTCATTGGTTCAATTAGTAATACATTTTGCCACGTCAAAAACTCTTAATTTTAAAAAAAATCCACATAATAAAACACTTTTACATCAAAGACCGACCAAGGATTTAAACCTATAAATTATACACCCATCCATGCGAGTTTTATGCCATCTTTAATCCTGACATTGCAGTGATTTAGAAATTTGAACATGGATAAATATTTTACAAAAAATAAATATATCTAAAACTATACTATGAGAGCCAAATTTAAAAGTTGTTATGAAAAGAGAACATAAACCTTAAAAAGGTAAGAAAGCAATTATGCATATACTCTTCTAATTCTGGGTCCCTCACAAATAATGAACGTTATCAACAAAATGCGGTCAAAATTATTATAATTATTAACATTTTTGGAACCACTTGAAAACAAAACAGTGAAAGAATATTATTATAATGGTTATATAACAATCATCATAATATTAAAAATTAAAACAAAGGCGGCAATTACATTAATTTTTAAAGTATTTTATTATTATTTAATTTATTTATAAGAATATTAAAAAAGTATTGCATACATGGAATACATGTCAGGACTGGGAAGACATTTTTAAAATGATTGACAAAATTTGTAGCCGTTGGAACTCAGGCACTTCACTCTCTTTCTTACTCTGTTTTGGGAATCCAAGAAGAAAAGCATCATCCATTCACAATCTCTGTTTCTACGCATCATTATTCTTTAACCCAATTCTGACAACTACATCCATTCCAATTTTCTCTGGTTACAGATAATAATTCCGTTGCAAAAGCTCACGCAAAGAATGAAGGGTGTGAAAGGAAAATTTCTGAAGAAGCTCAAATCGATCAAGCCAATCGGGTATCTCAAGCAAGATCGAATTCTCCAACTGAAGGCCTCAGATGGGTACGTCGATTTCCTCCCAAAGATTCCGAGTTTCAATCTGCACGCTCCATTCGTTTTCCGGGAAAACAAGCCCGAGAAAACTGTTCAGAGCTGCGAGGAAGTGAAAATGCAGGAGGAACCTGAGGTCATAGACGTGGCAGAGCTGATGAAAGACCTTGAAGAAGAAGAAATGGATTTGGAAGATTACAATGACAACAAAGAGAACATAGGTCCATGTTCTTTGAAACCCCAGCAACTCAACAAGGGTGTTTTGCAGAGTGGGAACAGAGCAAAAACAGAGTCAAAACAGAGAGGGGTTTTGGAGGATAAAAAGTCTTCACCGGCAAGAGTTGATAGTAACAGCAACAGAAAAACGAAAACCCCTTTGTTAGATTCTGACATTCCATCGTTCCGGAGACCAGACTTGAACTCTGGCAGCCTATTTGATCCGAATCTTCTGGCGGCGTTCGAGCATGCCGTGAAGGAACATGCTAGAATGACCGAAGAGCAGAGGAGAGTCCGAATTGAAGAAGAATCTTCACAGAAAGTGGAAGATGACGACCCTGAAACTGACCCTAACCCTTTGATGCTCTTTGAAGAGAAGTGTCCACCGGGGGGAGATGGCACTGTGATTTTCTACACCACAACGCTTAGGGGAATCCGGAAGACATTCGAAGACTGCAATAAAGTTCGCTTTTTACTTCAGAGTTTTAAGGTTTTGTATTTTGAGAGGGACATATCAATGCACAAGGAGTTCAGGGATGAGTTGTGGTGCAGTTTAGATGGGAAGTTAGTGCCTCCAAGGCTTTTTGTCAAGGGGAGGTACATTGGTGGGGCAGAAGAAGTTCTTAGTTTGCATGAGCAAGGAAAGTTGAAGAAAATCTTAGAAGGGGTTCCAATGGATTACTCCAATGGCCCTTGTGAAGCGTGTGGAGGGATAAGGTTTGTGCTGTGCTTCAAGTGTAATGGTAGCCACAAGGTCTTGGAGGAAAATGGAGAGAGCAATCAGTGCTCTCAGTGTAATGAGAACGGGTTGATTGTGTGCCCTTATTGCTGCTAGCTGAGGAAAACTATATCAGTTAACACTTCTGTGCTCTACCTATTGTGATAAGGTTCTATACTTAGTGTGTTCTATCCATTGTAATAGAGTTTTGTACGTAAATTTGTGAAACTGCATTATTTTTTCTTTCTTTTTGGTACTGATCATTCTTTCAATTTTTTTACTGGTGATAGGCACTTGGCATGGCCTGTTTGTGCTGGTTCTTGGACCGATCTTAAAGTCCTTAGAATCTCAGATTCAGTGTACCTTTTTTATGTATTTATTTTTATACCTCAATAAAAGGATTCTACCGCTTGAATTATCACTTCCTTCTCTTCTCTTTCTTATCATGTTGTCTTAGAGTAATTCATTGTGTTAACGCTTGGATAAAAGTTGAAATGTGTTTGAAAAAGTACTTTTCTGTTTCTCTGATGTTAAAACATGCTCTTAATTGTTTGAAATACGTTGAAGAGTTAAACGTATGATACTGTGTCCACCAGTCCCAAGAATTGCATAAGTGTTAATTTAATTTGCTCAGTTTTATTTCATTATCTTATCTTTCTATTGTGCTGATTAGATGCAGAATCAATGTTCAAGAAAACTACCATAATATCATCATTAATCAGCAGCGTAAGATCTTGAGAAAAAACATAACAATGCTGAGGACCTTTGATTTTTCTTAATTAGGCATTGAAAATGTAGAATCCCAGTTATCATATTAAAAACTGTAACAGAAAGTTTCAACACTCGTTACCTGGTTCATTATGTCTTCTATAGGTTTCATCTTTTGCTGTGTAGTAATCACAATAGTAAATTCATAGTTCGTTTTGAAATATTAAAAGACATTAATTCAACCAATACAGTTTAGCCAAATTTCCCATCAGTAACTTAAAATCATCAATATATACATATATATATATATATATATATATATATATACATACATATATATATATATATATATATTAATATTCCCGTCTAAAATTAAATGTGGGGTTACTCTCTGAATGGTTTAATCTGTATGCCAGACATTTTTAATCTTCTCTTCTTTCTCCTGTCCTCAATTTTCACACTTTGTTCAAAACCTCAAAATGATGCATCTTCAAACCCCCTTTTTTCTCTCATTCTCAGCATTGTTTATAGGCTTCTTCTGTCACTGTTCTGCAACAAAATTCACAGTGGGGGATTCAGCAGGCTGGATTATTCCACCATATCCAACATACTACAATAATTGGACACATTCCCATTTCATAACAGTAGGCGATTCTATTGGTAAAATCCCAATAAGAAATGCTCTAATAAGATTGTGTCTTCTGCTCTTTTTGCTTTGAAATATCTCTGCTAGATAGAAACATAATAAGATCTACAATTTATTTCTCATGGCTATAAAATATCACTACCCTTTTGAATCTTTATATACTAACATGGCAGTTCTGATGACTTTTGAAATGTTAACACAGAATTCCAGTTCGATGACAAATTCTACAACCTAATTCAGGTATCACAACAAGAGTACGAGCATTGCACATCACTTGAGCCTCTAAGGATATTCAATAGTAGCCCAGTAATTCTTCCACTGAAGGAGAAAGGTGTGTTGTTCTTCACATGCAGCATCTCAAACTACTGTTGTCTAGGCCAGAAGATTGCAATTTCTGTTCATGAAAGTTCTTCACAAAAACCTCCATCACCATCACCTTCACCCTCTCAAGTGCCAATCATAATCTCTCCTCCACAACTGTCACCAAATGGGTCTGCTCCTCAACCTCATGGATCTAGTGGCATGATTAGCCCTCCACCTTCTACTGGAAACACTTCAGGAGGCAATGCTGGGAACCCACCTGTGCCATCTTCCACTCAAGATGATGCGAATAATGCAGTGGCCTTGGCAGGTGGGAGAAGTTTCACTCTGTCTCTGGGGCAAGTCTTGTCTATTCTTGGTGCTTTCTTTGGCTTTTGGGTGATGTAGTAGTGTATAGGGGGGTGCAACATGCATGCAGAGTACGTGCTTTTTATGCTAATTAGATTGGTTTTTACAGTGATTTGGTTTTCAATTTAGACTCTCATCGTATTGTAGTGTTCTAAGAGGATATTTGAATTTTCTTGCTTTCTTTTTAATATCTTGAGTATGTATTCCTTCATTGGAAGCATAGCTAGCTTTTTTCTTAGATATGTATGCGGTTTCCATCAACACCAACGAAGATTCTGACAGTAATTTACATATACACAGAAATGGTGCAACTTAAATGATAATATTAAGTAATTAAGCGAGATTACTATGCATAAAATGTTTCATACAATTAATGTGCCATTTTGAGAAGGTAAAGTTTTCCATTGCAAGCTTGCCTGAGACAACACCATGGACAGGCATTGATCAAATTTAATATTGCAAGCAAATCACAACCATTATCTTGAAACATTACATCATTTCTAATCAAATAAACAAACCATCCTTCCAATTTACATGAAAAATCTTCTAGTTTTCTTTCCCTCCAATTAAATTCAATACTCAACATTGAAGCACCCTATATAGGGTCAATTAAATATAAAACACTAAAAAGTTTTGGTTACATCTGAGAGGGTTATTGGGGTCCTACAAACTGGACAGGTCATATTGATTCTCAACCAAGGATCAACACACTTGACATGGAAGAAGTGACCACAGGCAGGCAACACTCTCAAGGAATCACGGTCTTTGTAATCCATCAAGCATATGGAACAGCTTGAAGAGCTACTGCTAGTGCTACCACACAATTTGGTTTTGGAAAATTGGAGACTTGGAAAGTTGCAGACACTCTGATCTATGCATGGCTCAGGTGTCTCCACAGTGATTGTGGTGTGGTTGGAGTGTGTCACAGCTGCAGGAACAGAAGGAGTGGTACGTGGAATATCAGTAGAGCACAAGTAAGCAGCAAGTGTGACGATAAGAGTCAGAATAATAAAACTCACTAGCAATAACACAGACTCCTCTGAACTATTCATCATATATGTTCATCACAGATACTGGAAAATGAATTCTGATAGATGCATTGATGTATTTATGCATGATTTTGGAATTACTACCAGGGAGTGACCTTGAACTTTAGCTTTTAATTTTATCATGTTTTTAAGGGAAGTCTATTTTGGCATGTACCAAAGTTATCAGAAATGTAGTTTGTAGCAGCTGCGTACCGTTTATTCGTAGTTCAAAACTATCTTCGATGCTTCCTATAATTGATTGTGACATCGATCCAATTCATAGTCAATACCATTCTTTGTCAAAATTTGGATTTTCATTTATTTATTGTGAATGAGTTAGAAGAGCAATCATGGTGGGAAAAGGAATAGTATACTATGTATTTAATCTTCGTTTTATGTTTCTTGGGCATTTGCAACTGTTCTTCCCACGAGTCAACTATGTGTAATCTATGAGATATCATTAGTTTTCCTTTTTCTGAATTGTAAAGATTATATTCAAATTAAATAAATTAAAAGAGTATGTTTACAAATTATTCTTCACTTCCATACTCATTCAGTATGAAGCTTTTGGTAAAATAAAATGGCAATACTTTTAGTTAAATAGTTTTTTTAATATGTACTCATGAATTATATGATTTTTTTATAAACCTTTTTATTAACCGATATAATAAAAAAAAACTTTATACAGCATAACAAACTACTTATTTAAAGAGAGGTAAATTAATATTGTTAAATTATTTTAAATGGTTAAAGAATAATGATGGCGACAATATCGAATAATTTGAGATGGTAACATAAATGGGAAAAAGAAAGGCAATAAAATAAAAAGAAATAACATTGAGTGGGAAAAAAAAAGGAGTTGAAGTTATGATGATTATTATTTTTGAATGTAGACGAAAGCAGGAGCAGTGGTGGATTGTGTTATGGTATGAGGAATTGAGAAGAAGTGGATGAGAGTGTATATATTGGAAAGTTGATGATGAATAGAATACAAGAGTGGAATATCAAATGGAGGGAGGATTATGTGAAGGTTGAAGAGATGATTTTCTACAAATGGGACAAGTTGAATGGAACCTAAGCCATGGATCAACGCAAGCAAGGTGGAAAATATGGTGACAGTGAGGAAGTAACCTCAACATGTCACCCTCTTTGTAGTCACCTAAGCAGATGGAACAGCTAGAAGAAGGGATGTTGGTTGAAGTTGAACCCTTCTCTGCTTGGGAGTATACAAGTTTCGGATAGCTTTCAAAGCTTGTGTCAATGTGATCAAGTCTAAGGCCAAGGCCTTGTTCAGCTGAGTCTGCATCTCTTGTGGGATGAGATGGTGGAATTCCAGCCAAAATATTGAGCATGTTGGGACCTCGAGCCATGCGAAGGCGCACACATGCAAAAGCCACCGTGAGAAGTAATACCAGCGACCCAATTACAAAAGCTACTCCATATCTGAACCCATCTGAGTTAAAACCATAGCCCTTGGTGGTTGTGCCGTTGTTCATCTTCAACTGAAAATAGGAATCGGATTTGTATGATGGAATTGCTTGTTATGCTCCTTTATTTGGTGATTGACGAGGTTTAACAAAAGTTTATGAGGTAGGCTTCATCGTAGTTTTGTGGGTCAACGTTTACACATCCCTTTCATATTTCATGTTATTTCCTTTTAATTTATTGCTGTTCATCAGCAAGTTGGCTTATCGTTCAGCGAGAAGTTTCCATGTTGTGTAGCATGATAATGATTTCGTGCAAAGCTAAACTCTCTCTCTCTCTCTACATACACACGTATCTATAAATACCAGCATTGCGTGTACGGGATTGACGGTTACAACAAAATATATTCAAAATTGGTTTTTCAAATTCGGCAGTGTTTTAATTGAGCATTAGTTCTCATGGATTACTTTGTCGCTCTACAATTACAATAATATTTAAGTTTAATTTCACTGTAAAAAATCACGTATCAGAAAGGTTTAGCACAAGATCAATAAACTTAAATATTGTTAAAATTATAGATAGATTATTAAAATCATCTTACTGGAGACAGTACAGTTTGGATAAGGAAGGTGTGTATATAAATCAAGTATCAAGTATTTCCTTTTTCCAGTGATGAGTTTCATACAAATAACAAGGCCGATTTCACATGGTTTATTACAAGGAAAAATAAAAGATAAAAGTATATAATGGCAACATCTTTACAAGGGCTTGCTCGTGACTGCACTACGACAATAAAAAAATGAATCTTTAACCGCGTATGGATGCCCGAGGGACAGCAGGTAAACCCAATTCGTCTTCAGTCTGTCAGGGTCAAAGTAATCAATCAGGGTCAGGAATGCTATCATTTAAAATAAAAATGGCAGTAAATTAACTTATTCAGTTCAGATTCTTGTATTGAACAGTGTCAACAAACACTTATTCAGTTCAGATTCTTGTAATCAGTTAACCAGGCCAATAGATTTTCTGATCTGCCTAAGCTACACAAAGTTTGACACAAATAATGAACACAGGAAACTAAGCAGTGAGTGAGGACATCCTTCGGATAAGTTATATATCATACATAAGAATGCGACCTAACATCTCTAAATTTACTATGGTATACAGTTGTCGCAAGAAAGGTTAACCAAATTACTTGGTACAAAAATAAAAAGGCAAGTTAATTCATTTTTATGTTACTTACCTATTTTAACCTTAATAATAAACATTTAAAGTGTGTGTGAATTAAAAGATTAAGTCTTATAATAATTGTATATTTTGCTAGGAGCCGTGCAATAGAGTCCTATAAGGTAAAAGAATCATGTGAGAAACTTAACTAATCAAACATGTATTTTAATGAGAACGACACAATCTGAGTTGAAAATGGTGCAATAACATTTCATTGGAAAATACATGAATTATAAGCTCAACTTATCTCTCCTCGTTAAAAACAAATCCCAAAATAATTACTAAAAACATTTAATAAGGACAAATAAGTAAGAAATAAATAAACTTACTAATCAAAATACAAAAAGTGCCTTGTGAAAAGAAGCAAATAGGGTTTCCAGAAGCTGTCATATAACAAAACAAGGACCCGAGGGAGTACTTGTATGGGCTTCCCATACTGCCTATAGTGAAGAAACCAGGGGGGGGAGGCGTTGAAAGTACCACACTACTTTCCACTTAATGATTCAATTCAACTATAGGCAGTTGCAACAACTGCAATATCTAGAAACTGTATTATGCTAATTTTCAACATTCTAATTCCGGCATTTTTATTTCAACCATCAAAATTAAAATCTAGAGAAATATAAGATTCAATTATCTTGACAGTTTTGGCCAATAATTAAATAGCCTAAGCTATCATCTTCTGATCTGCTTTATACCAAGACTTATACCAAGACTGTGCCACAATCAATTTTATATGAAGAAAATGTTGTGCAGTCTATACAGACATCCTACACGCATTGAATAACAAACATTTTTTTCAAACAATTTTCCACCATTATATAAAAAAATTACCCCACGATCTTTCCCCCAATTAATTAATCACTTCACAAGGGAAACAATGTCTGCAATCTACACATAGACAAAACATATGCCATGACCAACCTGCTGCCAAATAATATTAAATATTCTAACAAATGGAAAAAGTCACTTTTTTTAACACCAAGTACTTCACAATGACTACGTGATACATAAGGGGCAAAATAATATACCTGCACATTGGATCTGCCAGGTGGCACTGCCGTTTGTCCTGTTGGAGCAGGAGGTAAGTTAAGCTCTGCCTCCAAATCAGGTTCTTTATCAGGTTGGAGGTAGGATGGGACCCCATCAGCTTCAGTCTCATTTCCCATGTCTAATTCCAATGCATCTAGTTCTGTTTCACCGAAAACCAAAAATAAAGAAAGTGATCATTAAGGCTGCTTCATGATAGAAGAAAATAAAATTGGGGAGAGGGGGTTTGATGCCCTGAAAATATGAAGTGTAACAACTATCTCAGGGGCCTAACCAAATTCTTCACTTACCACCCATAAGTTCATCCTCGTCAATGTCATCGGGCACGTTATAGCTTCTACCCAAAGTCTCTTGGATCTCGTTACTTACATCCATGAGGTCCATCATCTCATCTTGCAAGTTCTATACATTGCATGTACCAACATATAAACCCCAAAATTTTTAATATTTACCAGATAGAAGAAACTATAAGAGAAAAGTAAAGAGAATACAAACATCAATATCTTGGATCTTCACAGTTTTCATCATTCCCTTCAGCTCCTTGTTAGCAGACTTCAGAGCTGACATCTGAAAAAGGGATGGGGTAGAAAAGAAGAAACAAATATAAACAATTGAATTTCAATTCTATATCAGCATAAAAAATTGAGGTCATCTGACTTTTGAAAACCAAAATATAATAGAGTTTGTTGCAACAAAAGTACAAGGCATAATGTAAAACATCTCTATGAAGAGACCCCTCCCAAATGACAGACGATTCATCCCCTACCTCATGACCTACCTCTCATGAGGTAGGCAGCAGGTTCCAAACAGGGTACAGACAAAGCTCCGCCTCGAACCATGCCCCTTAAAGCGCTACCAAGACAAACGAATGTTTTATAGTGAATATGGATACCCCAATCAACGACACTTTATATAGGATACAATTGGCATTGTCAAACTTTTAAATATTTACAGATGGTGACAAACATCTAGCTAACTTTAATTTAAATGTTAAGATACAATGAAGCATACAACAAAAGGGGGCCCAGTATTGCACAAGGCTACCGTTTTTGTAGGGACTACAGAAGTTCTAATTAAAAAAGAATTGCCTAACTACTAGAAAGACTGTTTTACTGCATTAAACATGTGACCAATTTAGTTCACAAGGTAGTAGCACCTCTTCCAGAGATCACCCTCATCGTAAATTATAAAATCAGAACCATAAGCTTCCCCAAAAAAGTAAGAATACTGATAATAAGCCTCAACGCCTGATAACCTTAGGCAAAGGTGCAATAGTGCAACCAATCATAGCATTGGCTTTTAATGAGGGAAAGAAAAGATTTCATAAATTTATTTGATTTAATTTGTAGAATTTTGTTAATGCTATACATCTTCTATAATAAATTAAACCATCTACATATTCAGCACAGAACAAAGAAATATAATATGCAGATGGAAGTGGGATAAAGAATATAGGGATCACAAAGAGAACTATAAGTGCTTTAATACATACAGTTTGTTGGGCGTCTTTAATGCCCTCGGAAGCAAATTGAACTTGATCGAGATTGAACGTTTGATTGTAAAGCATGTCACGCTGGCCTTCGTACCTGACCAAAGACATAGAACACTACTATATGAATACAGCTACATAATACTCATTCATGGGTATTGTTATACAAATAAAATGAAAAATTATAAATCATCCTTAGTCCAGGTTACAAATAGCCCTTTCAGTTAAGCAAAAACTATTACCATCGTGAATATGTGTAAGAGGAAGTAAAACAAAACTTCTACAACATGATAAAGAAATCCTAAACATCCCACACTTATTACATAGCTATCAAAGTGACACGACCCATAGTAAGCATAACAAAATAACATGCAATGATGGCATAACGTAACGAAATACCACAACTTTCTATCTTGCAATGTTTAGTGACTGTAAAGGATAATCAAGCAAGAATTGACAATGAAAGATAACCTCAAACATCAGTCATCTTTGGTGAGTCAAGCCAATTGAACATTAATATTGTGCCAATTTATATGCGCCTTTTTTTTATTTTTATTGACATACAACTTTACTTTTTCTGCATACATAATATGTATAGATCGTACTAAGAAGAAACTAGAAGGGAGCAGTCACGGATTTGAAACACACAGAACAAATATTGCTACAGGGTAGTTTGCTATCACTGCAGGTCCAGCTTCCTTTTGTGGCAGAATCATAGAGGTCACATGCATAAGAAGACAAGATTTCAAGTTCTGGGTTAAACATTGTCGACAGCTCAGCCAATGTATGCACCTGTATTAATATTAAGTTTTCATTCTTTTATTCAAGAAAACATTCATTTTACAATTTGGGGAATTTTAATTTTTAAACCATTTTTGTTTTCACTCCTAGTAACTCTTGTCAACGTCTTTTTCATTTTCCATTTAAGATTTTCAACAATTGCCCCTACTATGTTTCTGTTTTCCCCGTTATAAGTTTCCCACTAACATCAACATTCAGTAACATTTAATCCTTTNAAAACATTTAATAAGGACAAATAAGTAAGAAATAAATAAACTTACTAATCAAAATACAAAAAGTGCCTTGTGAAAAGAAGCAAATAGGGTTTCCAGAAGCTGTCATATAACAAAACAAGGACCCGAGGGAGTACTTGTATGGGCTTCCCATACTGCCTATAGTGAAGAAACCAGGGGGGGGAGGCGTTGAAAGTACCACACTACTTTCCACTTAATGATTCAATTCAACTATAGGCAGTTGCAACAACTGCAATATCTAGAAACTGTATTATGCTAATTTTCAACATTCTAATTCCGGCATTTTTATTTCAACCATCAAAATTAAAATCTAGAGAAATATAAGATTCAATTATCTTGACAGTTTTGGCCAATAATTAAATAGCCTAAGCTATCATCTTCTGATCTGCTTTATACCAAGACTTATACCAAGACTGTGCCACAATCAATTTTATATGAAGAAAATGTTGTGCAGTCTATACAGACATCCTACA